TGGACTTCACACTTAAAACTTGACTACTCGCACTGCTACTTGCGCAGGTTGCACCACCGTGAGATTTTGAACCTAAAATATTAAAATATATTATTATTATTATTAATACTACCATTATTGTTATTGTTGTTGTTATTATTATTATTTTATTATTTTTTATTTTTATTATTATTGTTATTATTATTATTATTATTATTATTATTGTTGTTGTTGTTGTTGTTGTTATTGTTATTATGATTATGATTTATATACGAAGAATTCAATATTGACTTTTAAATGATCTAAAATTTGATTATTATTGAAAATTATTATTATAACTATATTAGATAATAAGAAAAAGAGAAATGTTAACATATATGGATAATGATTTAGTATATATAAAAATTTTTTAAATATAATTATTTTGTGCATAATTAAAGATATCAAACATCTTCATTAGTTAAAAATTGATAATAAATATATTATAATTTAAATAGTATTATATATATATATATTGTCCTTATTCCTTAATGGAATAAAGTATTTTAAGCATATATTCTTTTTTTACATATATCTATATTAATTGCATATATATTCATATTATATATGTTTCTAATAAACATATTCTTATGCTAAACTTAAATAAAAATAATTGTGTTGAATGCTTTTATCCATTCTTAAATTTAAATTAAAAAATTAATATATTTTTCATTAAAAAGACATGTGGTATTGCAAATTGATAATAATATTATATTTATAAATATAATTAGAAAATTGATTGAATTGATATTTATCATATACATGATAATAAGAAATAAGAAATAAAAATAAAAAAATGATTCAAAATAATTGTTATATAAAATAAATAATTGTTATAAATATATAATTTATATACAAATTTATTTTTATGTTTTAATAATTACAAAAATTTTCCAGTTTATAAAATATATTATATGATTAAAATTTAAAATTAAAATTTAATAATATTAAAAACAATATTTGCAATATTATGATATTATTTATTTGCAAAATATAATTATAGCATTAGAAATAATATTAATGTTTAATTGCATTATATATTTCCATACTTGTATATAAAATTTTATATATCTCTCTCTTTTGCAGAGTACACAAATGTATTTATATATATATTTTTTTAATAAAGTGCATATATAGAATATATATGTATATATTTTGCTCAACATTATCACAAGTAAACTATATTTACCTTATTAATTTGATACTATCCATCCCATTAAAGTAAATGAAAATATTTCAGATTATTGCACATTTGGATATATAAATTTAACATATTTAGAAATTTTCAAAACTGAAAATAATACTTATTTTAGTAAAAATTTAGATCATTCAAATAATATTCATAAATCTATAAAAATTGAAACATATTATTGATGATACTTATTAATTATATACAGAATTTAAGTAAACTTTACCATATATAAGATTTAAATGAATTATATACAATTATATCATTATGTTTATAAATATTATTTAATACTTAAATGTTGTATTTTAATTTTGGAAAATTCTTTTAAATACAAGAAATTCAGATTTAAATAAAAAATTAAAACTCTATTTTGTATATAATAAATATTATAATAAACACATATTAAATTTATTTCTCATATTTATAAATAATTAAATCTATATCTATATTTTATAATATTCTAATTAATTCTAATTAATATTCTAATTAAATTGATTTTTAATTTATTTTCATATCTCATGAAATATTTTTATACCAAAATATAATTTGAAACAATTTGAACAAATGATGAAATAACAGAATAAATGAATTTAAATTTATATATATATAAATTTAAATATAATAATTATTATATATAATAATTTATATATATATAAATTTCTCACACACAGATATATTTCACCACATAGAATTTTAAATAGCATAAATATGTTATATAAATTACATCATATTTATTGTATATGTCTGGAGAATACTGTCATGCATAAATCAAATTTGACACAAATAATTTGATCTGATATTAAGTATGATATACTTGCATATGGGTATGGAAAATCAATTTAGAGAGCAGATTTATAGTGATTTGTATTCATTTAAAGACATCTACTCATGAACTTGTAAGAGAAAATAAGGGTAAGAAAATATAGTACGAAATGTGTACTCCTTAGGCTTACCTTCTTGATGATACGTTTGTGTTGATATTGGAAAAAGTGCTTTGACAGCAGACACAAATCCTTCCAGACATTCGCTCATCCTCAGGCCTAATGATACAGTCTGATCTATGACTCTTATTTTGGTAATACTTTCTTTCTTTAATTTTAAGATACTTGTGAATCAAATCCTAATTTTACTACCCTATATTTTAGCCTACTACTTCATTAAATGAAGGTTGCAAAACACATTATTTTAATATGAATAAATTTTAATATGAATATATGAATAAAGGTTTTTTAATTGATCATGATACTAAATTTATTTGGTATTATTATTGTACATACATTTTGTAAATATCACTATTAATATTTTTATTTTTGCATATTAAAGATATTATCATTATTCTATTTATATGAATACATTTACTTATAAAAATTTCTATTTAATTTTATAGAACTAAAACATTCATTTAAAAAATTTATTTTTATTTATTTTAAAAGATATTTTTAATTTTTATAAAAAATTTTAATTATTTTTTAATATGTTAATAAAAATTATTTAAAGAATGTACATTAAATAAAATAAAAATTATT